ATATCTCAGCAAAAACTCTAATAGCACAATTTTCCTCAGTGTACACTATTTTTTCGGCAACCATGTATAATAACAAATCAATGAGACACATTTCCATATTAAATTTCTTTGTAGAATACAATTCTTCCTTCATTAATTCTCATTTGTATCAAATACTGAAAATTGAACCGAATACCTATACCTACTAACTGTTACATTGGGAATTTCGTATGTACATTTTCAAACTCACAAAATCGCAGCTGCTTTCGATACCTAGTCCATTGCTATAATTGCATCCAAACTTTCAAAAATCAAAATGTCAACTGAATCAAATATCTACCAAGATTTTCATAGTTACAGTACAGCGTTGATTGATATATTACGCAAGCGTAATATATCAATCAAAGGTTACAGTGACAACAACGATGTGATACTTTCCGGCCTAGTCCAGGAAGTACGTACTTCATGGACAAGGCTGGAAAAATGCAACTTTCTCAAAGAAAAAGCGTCCGGGAAGTCAGCATACTTGCCGGACGGTTGCTGAAAAAAGATGTTTTGTGTCACTCGTCGATTTTTTTCAAATGGAACTCCTATGGGCTACCTACATGTCTCACTAGAAATCTAGAATATTCTTAAAAAAAAACGAAATACCATTTTATTATTTTGGTGCAGTAACAAATTCTATACATTCGAAAATCAACAACTAGATCATGAATTTTCTTGTTGTTCGAATAATTTCAATTTGCTCTAGAAAATGACATTTGACATAAAGATTACATACGTGGGCATTCCATTTGAGAAAACATAAAGCTGCTGGCATTTCCAGAAATACCGAAGGTCCACCATTTTGAATTGTTATGTGACCCAATCCGAAATGGTTGCTCTTATATCTGTACCAAATTTCAGAAGGATTCGTTTACGAATGCAGAATGAATTTCAATGGTGGCCCGATACCCTGTGTCACCCAGTATAGTTGTATTTATATAGGCTGCTTTCAATTCAAATTTGAAAGTATCTGTATTTCTTCCAATATCGAGAATATGGGAGTATGATCATTTTAAATGCACATTGTAGGTATATAATTAGAAAATTAGATTATACTAAAAAAAAAACTCTCCATTCTCCGTTTTCCATTCACACACTATTCGTCACCGTCAGCCTGTGAAAAATCCTAATTGCATGCATTCTAACCGATCAGAGAATCAAACACGCTTCTTGAGTTTTTTCATCCCCCATTAGAGTTCCCTGATCAATAGAAAAAACGAAATTCCCATGCACTGTCGAGTCACACGCTGAGCACCCGTATCGTCACAACATAATAGTGCACCCTTCGGAGAGTGGCCATTCCTTCACGTTGGACAAAGAGGTACGAGTTCTTGGTAAGCCGACAATCAGGACCGGACCACCGAAATTTCAATTCGATATATTTGATAGCTGCGTTGGCAGCATCGATCCTCAAAGTGGGGGGATTCTAATATTCAATGAAAAAGCACTTTTTAATTTTAAAATTTCATTATTTAATTTTCAACCAATTAGAAGTGAACGGTTCTATTGGTCCACGTTGATTTCTTGGCTGCTTAAGTGAAGTAATCTGCAATTTAACCCAGTTTGGGAAACGAATTTCAATATGTTTGTACCGTATTCAATGTTTATATTACCTAACAGGACCAACGGCATTTTCATGGAGAATTTCTTGTAGATCTGGCGAGTAATTAACCTCACTTTTACTAATTAAATGTATGAACTGCTATTTCTATCATGATGTCCCTTTTTCAAAAACTAAAACCCGTTACATTCCTACGCACTGATGATGACTTTATTGGAAAGTGCTCTGCTATGAGAAATTGAATAAAGTTTTCGCACGAAATACAACGAATTGTACAATTTGTTTCATTTAATCGCCATCCGAATAAACAATTTGTGTGATTATTTAGTCTTAGTTCATACTGCAGGTGTTTAGAAATAATACTAATATTTTTATTCTTGGTGGAGGCGAGGAGAGGAAATCCCAAAATCTTAAGAAATTTCTCAATTGACTATTCTATTCTTGGTCTCAAGAATCAATCAGAATCGGTCATTTTTATGGTTTCTTCTGCATTACAGTGATAATTTTTTGTTTACTAATTTTTATCGAACTTGTTCTACTGATACAGAAGCCGAATTGACTCACACGTGACCAACCTTCCTCGTTTTTCAATGACTATTCCACTCTTGATCTCGAGAACCAATCAGAATCCACCATTTTCACGGTTTCTTCTGTATTCTAGCGATATTTTTTGTTTATTAAATTTTATCGGACTTGCTCTACCAATGCAGAAGCCGAATTGACCCACACGTGACCAACAAACCTCGTTTATCAGCGATAAAATTTTGACATCGTGTCTGGTCAAGATTGCTTTGTATTCAAATCTGACACAAGAGACAATAACCTAAGTATCTACTTCATTTTATTTACTTATAATTCGCGTTAGTGAGACATTTTGTACGAAAGGCGAGACAATTTCATTCTGGCTGGACGTTTCATGTGTAATTTAATAAGTTTGCATATTTGTTGACTGACTGACAACGATACTAGAATTCAAATTCCTTTTTAAAGTAATCTTCTTCAGTCACTCAAGTTATTGTGACTAATTGATAGGGTTGTTGCGCGGTGATACGAAGGTCGGTGGTTCAAGCCCGTCGACGACAATAATTTTTTTTTTTAATTATTTCATGTCACATAAATTTATTTTGTTCGAATTGGATAGCAAATGTATACACTCTTTTGATAGCAACCATGCATCTCCAAGATAATAAACAAAATACTATATATCGAAGACTGGAACCTTTGGCACGATAATACACTACACTAAACTCAGTTTTAATCTTCTCCTGAAGATGCTAACATAGTTAGCGAAACACGTGTCGAGGCGTTACAAAATCGGTTTGGTTAGTGGTAAAACAGTGTAGTGTAATCAAAATACTGTTCATCAAAATTGTACATTCCACTTTGTGAATAACTATAAGTAGGTAGTTAATTTCTAAAAAATTGAATTCTGTATTTCATTACTATCATTATGTTCTTCGTCGCAGTTCGAGTTGGAATATACTCAAATTATGTTTCCTATTTCTTATATATATTGTCTCATTCAATCATGAAATAGTCAGACGAATACAACTCGTGATACTATTTTTCCTGGAAATATTCGTCTATTGACATACTCCAGCTTGCTGCTCTAATTTCGCTCATGACATTGATCCAAAACTACTCGCCTACGGCTCGTTGTTTTGATAACAATGTCATTCACGAAATTACTAGGCAACAAGCTGTCGTAAAAATCACCGAATATTTCCGGTAAAATATTATCACTTGTGGTATTATATATGATAAAATTTTGGACATTCAATTATGTTGGAAGCCAGAATAATAGATGCAGTGTGCGCAACTCTCGCAAGCCACTCGTGTAATGTCTCAATCATGGAATACTCATACGAATACAACTTGTGATACTATTTTTCCTGAAAATATTCATCGATTGACATACTCCAGCTTGCTACTTTTATTCCGCTCATGACATTGTTCCAAAACTTCTCGCCTACGGATCGAAAGTTATGCTAAACAATGTCATTCGGCGAAATTATCAGGCAACCAGCTGTCGTAACAATCGCCGAATATATCTGGAAAAATAGTATCACTTGGGGTACCTATTACATATTAATATTTTTTCACAGCTCATTTCGATCTTCAATAGACTATATCTTCTATAATATGCTGGATCTACCCATATTTTCTATAGGCAAGATATTTCAATTTTCAAATTCATCTGAAGACCTCCAATGTCTGATATGTACTGGGATATGTATGGTGATCCTGAATTTATGATATCAACAGATAAATAGGTACCCTCTCTTTATACAGGGTGGGTCACGGTGGATGGCCTATTAGAAGTATCTGGAGAACGAAGAAACAGAACATTCGGAGAATAAGGATGCTTCGATAATTGAACATTCTCTATTCGTCTAAAATGTTTTCATCGATACAGTGTTGCCACTTCTATCAGAAACAACGAGCAACTTCGTTATTTTGAATGGAGCACCCTGTATTTTATTGCATTTTCAGATTCTTCCTGAAGAGCTGATTTCATCGATGTATCATACTTGGGGTCAAGCAGAAACGATTACAGAGATATAGGGTATTCAAAATCTAGATTTTTCAATTTCAGGATTTTTTTGTGTCGAAACTATTCATTATTGATCAAAACGGCGTACATGTCCCTATTTCAACTTCTGATTCGCTATCTTCTGGAAATCAATTGGAAAAAATACCAATTAAATGTCAGGCGAGATGTCAGGCATCTTTTCGGAATCTGTGGCAATACAATTCGAATAACAACAGGAGCTTTATTGAAAATTTCAATATTCGCGAAATTCTAACATAGATAAACTTTCATTATTCCAGATTTTTTGGTATTTTTTCTCCTCGTTTCTATAAAATAAGAATATTATTTCAATATACGTGTAGTAATAACAAATCAGATGATTTGCCCCAAAATGTCACTGCTCTCTGATAGGAAAATTCTTCAAACGCAGTGACATTTTGGGGCAAATCATCTGATTTGTTCTTACTACACATATATTGAAATAATATTCATATTTTTATTTCATAGAAAAGAAGAGAGAAAATCCCAAAAAAATCTGGAATAATGAACCTACAGACAGTATAGATAAACTTGAAACACAGTATAAATATGAGAAAATCATGTAATCAAATTATTTCATTCAGTTAAATTCGATTCAGATCTCCTTATTGATTAATGAGATTTGATTCATTCAATTGCATTATATTCCACTACCAACCAACTCGATTCCGTTCAAAAATCAACTCTTATGCCTAATGCAACCCTGTCCACACAGCCACCATAGCTACCAATTCATTCAACACCACATTACAACCTGCCCCACTCCACACTCCAGCACAACGAGGAAGACCCCATATAAAACCAAAAGACCTCAACACGACTTCATTCTAAAGTTCGTCGCCGCGCGGAAATCACAGCCGCCCGTATACAAAGTGTCCAACTAACGTGGTCGGTACGATGGCACCGACTCAGTACCTAGTGAACAGTGACTACGGCGAAGAGCCCATCTCCAGGACGTACCAGTACCGCAAGGTCATGAAGCCGATGCTGGAAAGGAAGCGTCGGGCGAGAATCAACAGGTGCCTGGACGAGCTGAAAGAGCTGATGGTGAACGCGCTGCAGAGCGAGGGCGAGAACGTGTCGAAGCTGGAGAAGGCGGACATCCTGGAGCTGACGGTGAGGCACTTGCACGGGCTCAGGCGCCAGCATCAGCTGATACTGCCTCCTGAGCCGAGCTACGCTGACCGGTTCAGGGCGGGGTTCACGCAATGTGCGCAGGAAGTGACGCAGTTCATCACCACCCCCGCCGAGCCCTTGGAGCCTGGGGCAGGCAGGAAGCTGTTGCAGCACTTGGGCGCTTGCGTGAGACAGCTGGATTGTGTGGCTCAGGGAGCGGTGGCTCAGGGAAGTGTGTCGCCGCCCGGTTCGCCTTCCTCTGCGCCCATGTGGCGCCCATGGTGAGAGTGGGCGATTGTTGCTTGTGATATGGAGGAAAACTGTCGGTGATAGAGTGTAATATGGATTGTGAGCTTTACTTTAGTTGTGTAGTTTGTGTAGAGGTTTTGTCTTCCAGTTGTTCTTCGAGCGATTCATTTAATTTCTGTTTTGATTTATTTTAGTTTTTAACGGCTTAGCTTTAATTCTGTGATAATAGATAATGGTTAGCTAGACTTTAGGGAAATCAATATAGATAGATGAACTGATTTTGTTGTATATTTTGTACCTGAATATAGAGGTACCAATAATTTTAAAATAAATGTGTTGAATCTTTCTACAGTTTTATTGAGTTTCATGATGAGAGTAAGTATTGATTCAAATAGTGTTCATTGAATGTTGCATAAATTCAGTTTTCTGTGGGCAATTTCAGATATTTGAAAAAAATCTAAAACAGATCAATAAGTATCGTTTTTGCACATTTTTCCACACACCAGATACCGGGTGAGCAAGGTTCGTGGCACACCCCGTTTTTTCTTTAGTTCAGCAGGAAAATATAGTAATAAGACATGGAGCAACTTATATACAGAGAAGTGCAAGCTATATAAGCAACTATACCATAATGTTCATTCATTCTCAAATGAAATACATAATCATATTCTATCACTTCCGGTCTAACGGACCCCAACTTTTGATTTTCAAATAGGATCCCCATTCCCCCGTATATTTTTCTATTTTTTGAATCATTTCACATAGTTACCAGGTGATTTTCCATAGAATGTAGTTATATAAAAGAAACACGGGGTTTGCGATTTATCGTTCAACCGCGAGAGTTCAACTGATATTTGTTGACATACCTGGGTATACTTGCTTTTCCATACTCACAGTTTGACCAGAAATGACCCTCATTCTCGATTCTCAAATGGGACACCCTGTATCTTATTCCATGATGGGTTAGGGATCATTATCACGAACTCAATGATACCGGGTTTCAAAGGAAAAAAACACAAACATTAAGTCGGTCGACCACAAAAGTTTAATTACAAAAGTTTTGTGACTAGTTTCGGCTCAAGCAGCCATCTTCAGACACAATATACAGTACCTGTAGAGATATTGGTTAACAAGAATAATATGACATATTGAGGTTTTCCTTGTAAACCAATATCTTTACAGGTACTATATATTGTGTCTGAAGATGAATGCTTGAGCCGAAACTAGTCACAAAACTTTTTTAATTAAACTTTGTGGTCGACCGACTTAGTGTTTGTGTTTTTTTCCTTTGAAAAAATCTAGATCACTTTGAGAAGGATGGATGGACTGATACCGGGTTTGATAGGGTTATTTCAAAACTCTCAATCAACTTGATGATTTGTTGTTTCAGGTATTCTCCGGAGTTCGTGATATCTAGGATATTGTAGTGAAGTATTTTTGCAAAAATGTAGGGTGATTGGGTTGTGCAAATTATAGCCCTATCAACACGGAAAAAAGGAATTGTTGAATCAAGCAAAATGTAATTGAATAAAGCAAATTAAAGTGTCATATATGCACGAAAAAATATAATCTTGAAATGAGTAGATCTATGTCTTGTTTCAGAGCGAATTTGAAGTTTGAATCAAGTAAATATGTCTTGCATGAACTCTGGATCTTCTCCAATCAAGCACATCCATGAATTGTTTATGAAGAGATATTGAATTGACTCAAACAAACATTTTGTTTGATTCAAAATAACAATGAGTTATTGATTCAATCAAATATTCAGTTGATTCAACGAAATATTTGGTTGATTCAAAGAAATATTTGGTTGATTCAATGAAATATTTGGTTGATTCAATGAAATATTTGGTAAATTCAATGAAATATTTTGTTGACTCAAGAGAAACTATATATGATATCCATTCTACAAATTATTTTGTTGAACCAAATTCAATATTCGGGAATTTTCTGAAATTTCACATCAATAGAATAAACAAAACTAGGAAACTAGTCGACTCCTAGCATTTTTTTTTTATCGCTTGGAGCGCACGAAAGGGAATCCCTATAATGTTCAAAGAACATCGTGCATATAAATATTCAGTCTTTACTTCTCTTTAGCTGATGGAAAACTATTTCGGATTGCTATAATCATCCTGAGTTCGACTTATCTAGCTGATATAACAAACACGAAGAATCAGGCTTCACGTATATAATGAACTCGAGGCAGGCATAGACGAGGCGAAATGATCGCCATCTAAAGGCGAAATTTAAGTTGATGTAAAATGAACCAAATATTTCATTGATATTACATATTTCGTTGCTCTATTCAAGCAAATGATCCGTTCGAAACGAGTTCATTGATACATCGGAATAAGACAACTTGTATGTTGTTTCAGAAATATATTCTCATCAAAATGGTCATTGTTTGATCAAATCAACAAAATGTTTATAGTTGAATCAACATCGACATTATTTTGGATCGACATAATTTGTTTTTGAAGAAACCATATATTTTGTTGATGGAATTGATATTATACTGTTGATTCAATTAGACTACATTCTTGATTTGAACAAGCTGCTTCCATGGAATAATCATGTATCTGGTTGATTCAACAAAAAATTGCTCAGTCCAACAAAAATAACTCAAGCATAAATAATTTGTTGATGCAATAAATCCTTTTTTTCCGTGAATGTTTTTACTATCCAGCGAATCTTTTTTTCCTTTCACAGGCATCAATAGTGAGCTCTGAAGAACAGGCCTGCACTATAACTACTACTTTTCTCACGAAATTTCGAGTAATTTTTACAGCCTTCAGAGAAAATAGATTTTCATTTTGATTCCCTACGATACTCATACCAAATAATTCTCTTTCTGTTCATTCAAATATGAATCGAGTTCATTTGTAGTTCATAGTGCTTCATTTCACAAAATAGCAAAATTTTGAGAAATCATGAGTTCTTTATTGTATCATTTCGGTAAAACACGACACCACTCAAGGGTTGATGATTTTCAAAGAAATTCGAATAACTTTCTTCTGCACTCCAGAGTTATACAGGGTGTTTCAGACTCAAATGTACATACGATACCTGTAGATAGAGGACACTTCGGTGGTTTCAAATCACCCCCCATCGATATGTCTACCGTCTTTGATGACTGAGATACAGGACGTTATCTTGATACTGGCAAAAACTTCAACTGGTTATAACTTCTGAACCACTTTGTATAATCTATTAATACTTGGTAGAAATATTTCACTTATATTACCCATCAAAACCAAATGAAAATCCAGATCTGAATCCAGGTCTTCTTGAGGAAAAACAGAAAACTTCTCTTATCTCAAAAACATCACTCTGTATGGCAAAATGCTATTGATCGGTTTTGATATTTGGAAAGAGCGAAAAAAAAAAGAATGAAGTGACATACTTTTTACGAGTGCGCATCCAATTTGAAAGATGGTTTATTATCATGTTTTGAAATACTCAGCTCCATTTCGAGGCATTTTAATTGAATTCATAATTCAAAACCCAATTTTTATGCAAAAAAATAACAGTCTCCAAAGTTCAACATCATTAGAGTCAAATAAGGTGAACTATCGATAAATATATATAACTTTCGAGGACTCATTTTATACTTTACAATTTATTCATAAGCTGGGAAGTGTCCCTTTTGTTGTTTGTACATTTAAATCTGAAACACCCTGTATAGCCACGATATATTACCTCCCACGAGAAGAGAGGTTATATATGATATTGCTTTGTTCGTTCCTTGAAATACCATCGATACAAAATATCACCTATTTGTTATATTTTCCCTCGTATTTTTCTTAATTTTATGCACTGAGAGATTTCAAGGAATACTTTATATTAATCTTTGGAAGAAGTCCATGGTAACTCAAAGTGAAGTGATGGTGTAGTTCATAGATGAAAACTCAAAGTCATCTCCACAACATTCATTAGAATGATCAAAGATCAATCTTAGGGAACATGTTTCGGTCTTATATAAGCCCATCATCAGCCAATAGAGAATATTATAATTCTAGAAAAATCATTGTTGACTTAGGATATAGATGCAAGAATAACTTAGTACTTACATGGAAATGAAAAAAGTAGGCATACCAACCTACAACAAAGATTAAGGTAAGACAGAATTAAATAGGATGGTTATATTTAGTGAACTTTAATGAATCGAAACATTTGAGGCAATCAGAATGGGTTTTTTCTAGTGGTGCCCGCGAGAGTCTCGTTTTCGAGAGTCTCGCATGGTCTCGTCTCGTTTTCGAGACAAGACTCGAGACGAGACTCGGACAAGACGAGACGAGACTTTTATTGGTCTCGTCTCGAGTCTCGTGCAAGACTTCTCGTGTCTCGTGCGAGAGTCTCGCAGGTAAATATTTCTGCGTGCCGACTGCAGACTTGAGAATTACATTCATAAAACAACATATTTAGAAAAAATTCAAACTATTCAGCACAGACAGACAAAACATTTCATTCATAGATACTTCAAAAACAAAATCCATGATTGTTGTAAAACAACGTAATGCGTGAAACGAAAACGGACTATTCTCTCTCTTACGGCGGCGGAATATAAGGGCAATTCTGCAATATCGACAGATCGCAAATTGGATGACTACCTGAAAATCTATGAATTGGGTAAAAACCGATAAGATTTCCACAAAATTTTGTGGAAATCTTATCGTTTGTGAAGTTTTTTTACATTTGCCATGGAATTCCATCAAGTAACTAACGACCGAGTCAATTCAAAATTTGAAGGAAGCTACGACTAGCTCCATGGCCACCTGGTACTTTAAATTCATCCGTCGTTGCGTCATAACAAACCAAAAAAATGTTGTGGAAATCTTATCGTTTGTGAAATTCTTGCATATACCATGGATTTCCATCAAGTAACGGCCAAGTCATTCTATGCTAAATAATCTAAGATAAAGAATAACTTTAGTATGTACCTATTATAGGTACTTACTTTTCAATAAATAATGTTATTTTTGTTGTAATTTTTTCTTCCTATATACTTCTACATTATACCTAAAAAGTAGGTGAAGGTGAATATCCCGTAAGGGATTGGAACAATATTATGCATGACGAAATTGCGATACATTTGCGAGACTCTCGTACGAGACGCGAGACAAGACGAGACTAGAGGCTGCGAGACGAGACTCGAGACAAGACTTCTTATTTCATCGGCGAGACGAGACGAGACTTTATGAAAGTCTCGTCTCGTTGGTCTCGTGTGAATCACTAGTTTTTTCATTCAGAGAAATTACATTATTATTTTTCAAGGATGAGTGGTTGGCAAAGGAACTGCTAGTATCATATTCATCCAAAAGAGGAGAATTTGTTGCTTCTCCTGTATACCAAAGGGGAAATTTTCGACGTCAAAAACAAGATCTTCTGGAGCTGATCTCCTTATCTAAAATGAAGATGTCATAGGACGCATCAGAAGAAATATTTTCAGAGGAAGAAGACAACATCTATAGTTATCCATAGTCAGATAAAAGGATTAAAACTCTCAATCATCATGTTTTTAATAATATTCAATCCACATAACAAAATTGTTTTGATTTCATTTTAAAATCAATAGTGGCCTAACATTTTTTTTTTATGAAAAGGCATGGAAAATATTCAAATATTGTTTTTTTCATTCAAGCTGCATTTATCAATTGTAATTACGTAGTGAGGAAGTGATAATTTCAAATATACACGGCCCAAAATGATTTAGTATCTCGTTCAATAATCTTTGGTCATTTATCTCGAAACTAAAGAAATGGCCGCTGATAGCCTCGAATATAAGAAGTTTGTATCTCTATATATAAGCAAGTTATTTGTTTAACTAGGCAGCAAAGTAGTAGATTGACTGCCGAGGCTGCAGCAAAGTACCCACTTTGCTGCCTAGGCAGGAAAAGTAATACTTTGCTGATTGATATGTTTCAGCAAAATAAATATTTGCTGCCAATCGGAGAAAAAAATATTTACCGATCACACAATATCAGGCATCCGCATAAGGGGCAAGGGAGGCGCTTGCCTCCCCTCCTAGCGCCTATTCCCTTACCCATATATATTCTCAATGAAATAGATTTTGAGTAACCGTTTCTGTTTGTCAATCAGTTTAGGCTTACAAATTTTTACATTAATGAAAAAATGGTCTAGAAAGGAAGCTCAAACTGAAATGTTCAGTCAATTACACATTGACAGAATTTTGTATAGTCCCAAAAATGCTCGATAGTGACAAAGTATCTTATTTCCATTTTTTCCTATAAAATTAACTAAAATAAACTGTCTTTTCAATACGTACTTATTAAATATTGTACATGTTTAATGTCTCCTGCCTTTCCCACCATAGATTATTTATGCGGATGCCCCTAAACCTCGCCCAAAACACTGACAAAGATTAGCCCCAAAACATTATAACGCCCCACCCTTAGGGTCATGAAGGATACTGAAATTAAAATATATAAAACCTTTATCAGGCCATTTATCCTGGAAAACAAACTTCTCATTGGCAAAATAATTAATAATAATCTAATAATATCATAATGAAAATATTTGAAAGTTCTGATCTGTATATAATCATCATCGATTATTCTATATTGAGAATTATTATTGAATAAAAATGAAACGATGAAGACTAAATAAGTATTTTTTATTCAGCATCAGAAATCTGAATCATACGAGAAATCTCTGAAAAAATCATGGGTATCAAAAGGAACACATACAAAGCCAAATCACCAGAATCAATCAATTAACTGATCTATGGAAATTGCATTTTGTTTCTTCTGCAATTCAGAAACACAACTCAACTCATTCATGCATTTTATTATTCCAGTGGTTGCTCACTACCACTTCCATCCTCTCGAGTGTCATCGTTCTCATCATCATTGTCATTATCTTCGTCATCACCTCTTTCTCCACTGGTTTCATCAAAGAAGAATGTACCAGACGATGCTCTATCAATTTTCGTATAGTTGACGGTGATTGTAGAGTATTTGTTCATCTCTGATAAACTTCCAGCAGCTTTTCCATCTGTTTCGTCATTATGGTCAATATGATGATCTATATTTTTCATATTTTCATCATTTCTTGGATGATTCACGGAAGATTTATCACTTTCTGAGCTGTTTTGAATCGTACGTTGCGTGACACTTATGAATTCGGTATGTGTGAAGTATTTTGAAGCGAATGCAAACATGGGAGAAACTGATTCAAATGATGAGAATGAAGAGTTCTTTGGTTCAGGTGATGCTATGCGACTGACTTTTATTTGGTTGTCAGATTCTATTCCTCTATTTCCTTCACTAATCTGTGAGCCACCATGATATGCTTTTTCATTATTCATCAGTGCATTGTCAACGGAATCAGAAGGTTGCTCAAACTCTCCTGGAGTGATGATCTCATGTTTAGAAGTACCTGTACCAGTTGTAGGAAATTCCAGTCCAATCTCAACCTCATCCGTCTCAAAGCTAATACTTGTTTTGTCTGTTTTACCCCGGGTTGAAGTTTCCCCACCGTCAAAAGTAACAAATGTTGTACTGTAAGTTTTAGTAACCTCTTCAAAGTTTGTGGAAGTATTTTTCAATGTGGTATTCTCGATATCTCTGGTAGTATCATTTATACTTGATATCGTTATATCTTCTTGTTCATCTTGATTGATTGATGAGAGAGGTGCCGTTGTGTTCATCTTTATATTGTCTGGATCATTGGAGTATGTGTCAGTAGTAGTTTTTGATTCTCCTTGAGAAGTAGTTCCAGCCATAGTTGATGGTGTTATGCCATTTTCTGTTTTGGTTGTGTTTTTTGTTGATATTGGGGTACTAGTGTCAATTCCATCATTTTTATCAGTAGATCTTGCTGCCGTCTTATTGAAAGTCTCATTCGATACATTCTTTCTTGTCGTACTTGAAGATCTAGTTTGTATTGTTGTCGTTTCAAAATCTTCTGAAGTTCTTCCGACTCCATCTACGTGAGCATTTGTTGACTGCGTTGTTACTTCAGTGTCAAAGCTAATATTGTTTGTTTTGTTCGTTTCATACAGAGTTGAATTTTCTACACCGTCAAGACTTGATAATGTTGTTCTGTGAGTTTCAGTAACTTCTTCGGAGTTTGGGGAAGTATTTTTCAATGTGTTTTCCCCAATATCTCTGGTAGTATTAGTTATACTTGATACCGTTATATTTTCTCGTTCATCTTTATTTATCTCTTCTTCCGATATTGGTGAAATTACCATTGTGTTCATCTTTATATTGTCTAGATCTTTGGAGTATGTGTGAGTAGTAGTTTTTGATTCTCCATTTGTAGAAATTGGGGCACTAGTTTCATAGAATTCATCATGTGGTGTTGACATGGATTTCGAGGAACTAGGTTCTTTTGTTGTCGTTTCAATATCATCTGAAGTTCCAGCCATAGTTGATGGTGTCATGTCATTTTCTGTTTTCGTTGTGTTTTTTGTTGATATTGGGGTACTAGTGTCAATTCCATCATTCTTATCAGTAGATGTTGCTGCCTTCTTATTGAAAGTCTCATTCGATACAATCGTTCTTGTCGTACTTGAAGAACTAGTTTGTATTGTTGTCGTTCCAAAATCTTTTGAAGTCCTTCCGACTTCATCTACGTGAGCATTTGTTGACTGCGTTGTTACTTCAGTGTCAAAGCTTATATTGTTTGTTTTGTTCGTTTCATACAGAGTTGAATTTTCTACACCGTCAAGACTTGATAATGTTGTTCTGTGAGTTTCAGAAACTTCTTCAGAGTTTGGAGAAGTATTTTTCAATGTGTTTTCCTCAATATCTCTGGTAGTATTAGTTATACTTGTTATCCTCATCGTTATATTTTCTTGTTCATCTTTATTTATCTCTTTTGCCGATATTGGTGAGAAAGTTGTCGTTGTGTTCATCCTTATATTGTCTGGATCATTGAAGTATGTGTCAGTAGTAGTTTTTGATTCTCCCTGAGAAGTAGTTCTATTTGTAGACATTGAGGCACTAGTTTCATAGAATTCATCATGTGGTGTTGGCATGGATTTCATGGAACTAGATTCTTTTGTTGTCGTTTCAATATCACCTGAAGTTCCAGCCATAATTGATGGTGTTATGTCATTTTCTGTTTTCGTTGTGTTTTTTGTTGATATTGGGGTACCAGTGTCAATTCCATCATTCTTATCAGTAGATGTTGCTGCCGTCTTATTGAAAGTCTCATTCGATACAATCGTTCTTGTCGTACTTGAAAAACTAGTTTGTATTGTTGTCGTTTCGAAATCTCTTGAAGTTCTTCCGACTCCATCTACGTGAGCGTTTGTTGCCTGCGTTGTTACTTTAGTGTCGAGACTAATATTGTTTGTTTTGTTCGTTTCATACAGAGTTGAATTTTCTCCACCGTCAAGACTTGATAATGTTGTTCTGTGAGTTTCAGTAAATTCTTCAGAGTTTGGGAAAGTATTTTTCAATGTGTTTTCCCCAATATCTCTGGTAGTATTAGTTATACTTGATACCGTTATATTTTCTCGTTCATCTTTATTTATCTCTTCTTCCGATATTGGTGAAATTACCGTTGTGTTCATCTTTATATTGTCTAGATCTTTGGAGTATGTGTGAGTAGTAGTTTTTGATTCTCCTTGAGAAGTAGTTTTATTTGTAGACATTGGGGCACTAGTTTCATAGAATTCATCATGTGGTGTTGTCGTTTCAATATCATCAGAAGTTCCAACCATAGTTGATGGTTTTATTCCATTTTCTGTTTTCTTTGTGTTCTTTGTTGATATTGGAGTACTAGTGTCAATTTCATCATTCTTATCAGTAGATGTTGCTGCCGTCTTATTGAAAGTCTCACTCGGTACATTCGTTATTGTCGTACTTAAATAACTAGTTTGTATTGTTGTCGTTTCAAAATCTTCTAAAATTCTTCCGGTTCCATCTACTTGAGCATTAGTTGACTTCGTTGTTACTTCAGTGTAAAAAGTAATATTGTTCGTTTTGTTCGTTTCATCCAGAGTTGAATTTTCTCCACCGTCAAGACTTGAGAATGTTGTTCTGTGAGTTTCAGTAACTTCTTCAGAGTTTGGGGAAGTATTTTTCATTGTGTTTTCCTCAATATCTCTGGTAGTATTAGTTATACTTGATTTCGTTGCATATTTTTGTTCATCTTTATTTATCTCTTCTTCCGATATTGGTGAGAAAGCTACCGTTGTGTTCATCGTTGTATTGTCTGGATCATTGGGGTATGTGTCGGTGGTAGTTTTTGATTCTTCTTGAGAAGTAGTTTTATTTGAAGACATTGAGGCACTAATTTCATTTGCAATTATTAAATTGATTCCTGTCATTTTATCAAAGAATTCATCATGTGGTGTTGGCATGGACTTCGAGGAACTAGTTTCCTTTGTTGTCGTTTTAATATCATGTAGAGTTCCAGCCATAGTTGATGGTGTTATGTCATTTTCTGTTTTCGTTGTGTTTCTTGTTGAGGTACTAGTGTCAATTTCATCATTTTTATCAGTAGATCTTCCTGCCGTCTTATTGAAAGTCTCATCCGATACATTCGTTCTTGTCGTACTTGAAAAACTAATTTGTATTGTTGTCGTTTCAAAATCTTTTAAGGGTCTTCCGGATCCATCTACTTGAGCATTTGGTGAGGAAGCTACCGTTGTGGTCATTTTTATATTGTCTGGATCATTGGAGTATTTGTCAGTAGTAGTTTTTGATTCTCCTTGAGAAGTAGTTTTATTTGTAGACATTGAAGCACTACTTCCATCTGCAATTATCTCTTCGATTCCTGTCATCTTATCGAAAAATTCATCATTCACCCTTCTTCCTTCGGTAGATATTGAATAGCTTGTTTCATCTTCGATGATATCTGTGTTTCCTGGCTTTTCTTCAGGTTCTGATTCTGTAGATTGTGTTGTTTCATATTTCATTGTTTCTATATCAAATATGAAAAAGCTTGTTTCATCTATAATGGTCTCTTTGTTTCCTGGCTCTTCATCAGGTTCTGATTCTGTAGATTGTGTTGTATAATATTCCATTGTTTCTCTATTAGATATCGAAGAGTCTGTTTCATCTATAATGGTATCTCTGTTTCCTGGGTTCTCAGTTGGTTCTGTTTCTGTTACTGTAGATGTAGGTGTTGAGTCATATGCCCTTGTTTGTTCGATATATATTGGAGAGCTTGTTCCATCAGTAATAGTTTCTGTTTCCTCTATTCCTCCTCTAGATATTGAGGTAGTAGTTTGATCTGTAGCTAGCTGAATATCACCTGTGCCATCGGTAGATTCTGTTTTCTGTTCTGTGAACGAATCTTCCTTGGAACTTTGTGTGATATCTGTCATTTCCATCGAAATATCTTCAGTTTCGAACGATTTTTCAGTAGTCTCTTGTTCACTTGTAGTTGACGTGGTACGGAAAGTTTCTATTCTGATATTTTCCATCGATAATTCTGAGGATGTAGTTTGCATTGCGGAATTATCGAGATCTTCAGTAGTTGTTGATTTTAGTTGGGCCATAGTTATTTCATTTGAGGCATTAGCTATTGTATTTATGACCGTTGATTTCGAAACCAGAAGAATATTTTGTGTTGATGGAACTGGCGTTGTTATTATATTTTCGGTTGTACTAGATATTGCTGGGATGGCAGTCTGACATACTTTGTGTAAAAAACATTCATTATCGCAACACTTGTAGGTTTTCGGACATTGGTGGTCCGATGAACATTCGAACGCTTCTGTAACACTTTTTGGATATCGGCCTTCTGGACAAGAGAATCTAGTAGTGGCGCAGACCATCATGTCTCCTGAAAATAAATCAAATTTATTCAAATTCAGTTATCTTTATATCAGGAATATGAAGCGTTGTTGATGGAGAATGGAATAATGTTTTGGAATGATGATTTTTTTATTATTGAACCGATTCAGTTGACCGTGGTTTTGTTAGAGAGAAAATTCATCAAGGCAGACTGCTGATTTCATATTTGTGAATTCTTTCGTGAAATAAGATGCCAGACACACCTACACTTGGTCAAACTAGGAGATTCCCCAGAACCTTTTTGAATCGCGAATTACTAGAGATTCATCAAGTCAAGTAGCTTGGTATTTCAACAAACTATTTGACTTTTGATGATCAAGTTCATGACAAATTACATACTTGACTTGACTTGATTTGATTTCAGATATTTATTACTTGACTTGCAATCATGCTACTTGATATCACTTGATATTAAACAAGCTCACTTGCGCTTATACATAATATACGGGGGTTTCCCAGCTCCGAGCTGACTGAATCAAAAGAGTCTCCCCGTTATGGATGGAATCTTTAGGAACGAAACTACCCCAATTCCATATTTTATTCGAAGTTATTCAATTGGGAAAAATACTGTGGAGGCATTTATTGCCCTATATTGGCTAGGTGACGATTCCGATACGACATCTAGTGGACAAATTCGAACCAGTTTAGGACGTAATTTAAGGTCATGTACATTGTTGTGTTCATTGAGATTCATAATATTCCATATTTTATGAATTCCATTCAACACATTACGTTTATTTCCTCTTCTTGCTTCTCTTGAGTACAAGACATGAACTTAATATTAAGTGCCTACTCAATTCTATATTATTCAATGAATTAAAATCAACAAATCTCTAAAATTACGTGAAATCAACTGTGTTTGGTTGCTGGTTGAACTAGTAGAAGGTTCCAATGGAAAAATGTAGGACCTATATAATGTCTTTCAAAATGGATTTCCTGTTGAATGGAAGAAAAGAATAAACGTTGAGAATCGAATATAAATTTGAAAACTGGATGTATGCAGCTCCAACAAAAACTTCCTATATACCTTTCTTCATTTCATTGGTCCAATAATGGAAACAATAAGGTAAATTTGTGATTCAGATATATTTATTACTGATAAATAACTCTTATTTATAATGCCTATCTGAGAGAGAATATGATTGAAATGAATGATCAAATATTTTTATAATGATAATGAAGAAGCAAATTCAATGCCTTTGACTTTTGAACTGCAATACAAGGCAGGGCAACACTCAAAGAAATAGTATGGGTTGAATTGACAAAAAAATGTGTTTAATCAACATCATCATCATAATTGTTGAATAAAACTACAATGATGGTACATTCAATGATTAGGTGATTGTCAAAACAATTGAGGAAAAATTGTACATGAACAAATTCAACGTCAACCAAAAATATTAGTTAGTTTTGATAATATTTTTTGTGATACAACCAATAATTTGTAAAAATTAGTCAAATCGAACCAGGAATAGTATTTCAACAACATTATAACTGTAACTGAAATATCATAATAGCTCGCTCACTGTTATATTTGGTTGATAAACGAATGAGAAGTCATAATAAACATATAAGTATTTCAAATCAAACTAAAGATAGTATTTCAACTATATTATATTGTAACTGAAATATTATTACAGCTTGATCACTGTTAAAGTTGGTAATCAAACGGAAAGGAAGGTAAAGTCAACTTGCAACTATTTCAAATCACTCTAAAGATAGTATTTAAACCGAGATTCAAACTATATAATGTTGTATAACTGATATATCATTACAGCTCGTTCACTGTCATAGTTGGTCGACAAACGAACAGTAGGTTAAAATCAACCAACCTTCTTTGAAGGTTTGACAATGAGCTTGTGATCTTCCCATTGGAATTTGCAGGGCAACAGCGTCCACATGAGATTTTGTTGCTGGCGTCTCATTTTGTTCTTTGTGTTGGGGCTTTATATTATTTTGATATTATCGTTTCACGTTATACCTATTCTGCAATGAAGTGATTTTGGTAAGTTGATTATGTAATCACTGTATTCAATATCGAATTTGTATTTCCAACATCGAATCAATCTTGGAAAGAAGTATTGCATCAATATCCGATTTATGATAGTTAGTGAATATTGCCTTCCATTGTCCAGCAATATCATATATATATCAATCCAGTGCCAATGTTGAAATAACATTACATTTTGAAATTGGCGAAATATTCAAGAATAAAATAAGTCAATATTCATGATGGGCTGATATTGTATTTCTAATATCGAATCAATCTTGGGAAAATTATTGCATCAATATCAGATTCATGATGGTAAGTGAATATTGCATTCCATTGTCCAGCAATATTGCACTTATATTGGCTATTCAATTTCATTTCTATATATTCAATAATCAATCCAGTGCCAATGTTGTAATGACATAAGCAGAATATTTGTTACCAGCCGATGTTTATTTGCCAATATAGGTACAGTTTTTTAAGTACGTGTAGAAAATTCAGGATCATGTTGCTGACGTCAAAATGAGAAGAAAAGTTCGTATAAACATATATGTCCGAAAGTTATTCCTTTCCGAGATACAGAGTGTCAAAGTTAAATACTTATTTTTGTTTTTCGTTAATAAACTTCAAAACATGTTGCGATATGTTATTATTCCCCTGATTCTAAGTTCATAGTTCAACTCATCTATCAATAAATGATTAGGTTTAAATTTGAAGGCAGCCATTATAGTAAAATTTTTGAAGACTCAACTCAATTTTATTTATGAAAAGGGCTCAAGTATTAAATAGTTACAAAAGGAGAATTGATATTCAATCAAGTAATTTATTAACAATTTGGGCCAGCGGGCTACCAAAATTTGAAGAAATTCAACTCAAAGTTGAACACTCAGTATGTGTTCATAAAATTCCTGGACCACCAATTATCAAGACACATTTCCTATATGTGCAAACAAAAACTGAGAATTTTATCAAACTGCTAGGTTGATAATTTCTCTATTTATCATTGAGTTTTCAAACTATATATATTCTGTAAGATGAAAACGTCAATTTTCATGTTACAAAGTTTACTTCCTCATTAACTGGAATTTAGGAACAAAGTACATACTAGGGACGTCCCAGGGACATCCGCTTTCAGACAAAAAGAACATCCAAGGGATGTCCCTTCTGGTTTGTCCCTGGGATGTACCGAGTACGAAGAAGGGATATCCCTTGGACGTCCCCAGGATATCCCAGGAACATCCTTTTGACCAAAAAAAATTGTAGGTCGAGTAGGGACTGAACCCGGGACCTTTAGCTTGTCAGGCACGCACCTTACTCCATTAGCTAATATGCCTTCTGAAAATTCATGTATTGGACAGATTTATAAACATGACTGAACTACAGAAACCTGAATAAATGATACTTTGTTAGGATTTGGGTATAATTATAATCATTCTTGTGTGTATAAAAATGAGGGGCATCATGCATTCACGATTTCTTACGAAAAATGGTCATTTCTTGAGAAATTTTGCGAATATATTTTTTATTTTCATTAAAATTATGTTTTCCGGAAGAAATACATTTTCGAAAAAATTCGACTCAATATTGATGAAATTCCCCTCTGATGTGAATGGATATCAGATATTCCAGGGACACGATTGGAATAACCTAAGGATGTACCGGGCGGGATGTCCTCTGGACAACCACTGCGGGACATCCCCTGGATGTCCCAATCATGCCATTGTTCCGCGGGACAAAATGGACGTACATAGGATATCCCTGTGTTGTTTGGGTATATATATATAGATAGGCCAAGAGGAACTTCTTGGGTAGCCCAATTTTCAGAATGATCCCATGTCTCGTTCTCCGTGAACGTCTAAAGTATCATCGACGGTGACCCACCCTGTATATATATCTACTCACCCACTTGATGCAAATGAGAGTAATTAAGCTCCTTTGGTGATTGTACTTCTTCGAAATTCCCTTTTGACGGTTGTTCCCCATAATATATCTCAAAATATGGACCATTCCTCTTATAGTAATATTTGTTTGCTGCTATATTCCCGTGAAATATGGCAAAGACCAAATGAATTTGCAAGACCTGCACTAACATATTCACCTGAAACAAACAGAAGCTTGAGTTCCTCTGACTGTCAAGTCATTTTAAATGAATAATTGTATTCGAAGAATGAGATCATTAGGTATCTTTCCTCTACTGTGATGGAAACTCTTATACTAGGTGTTCTAGAACTCACAGGCTCATAAATATAATGAACTTGAAATCTTGTATAAAAAAATTCAGGAAGGTAGGTCATAACTCAATCATACCTAAATTTATGATGATTAATCTCTAATGATATCTGAAATACCAATGAAACTTTTTTCTGAAATTCAATAGACTATTCTGAAATGAAAGTGACGCTTTTTGAAATTCAAAGGACTATTCTACAATTGGTGCTTCCTGGAATACAACTGGAAGAGGTGTGGTGTTATTCACCGTATTTCCATTTAGAGAGCCTAATAAGAACCCTTTATTCACTAAAACCTGGAAATTATCTGAAGGCAGGGCGAGCATGTACTCATAATATCGGATGCATTTTATATGTATCGGGTGGCCACAAATAAACCGGAAGTTTTTATTTTCCTCGTGGTTTCATCATTTCTCAACCGAATTCGGATTTCTTGGCGTCGTTCCATAGCTAAAGGGCTATAATATACAGTGGAATATTTGAATATTTCATAATGAGCAAAAACAAAATGGCGGATTCTACCAATGTATTGTCATTTACAAAAACCGCTGGAGAAAAAGAAAATCAGATTTTTTCCAACCTGTACCAATGTCATCTTAGGCTATTAATTTTTGAAGAGAATGAGTACTCGAACATCGAAATCGAACAAATAGTCCAGTAGATACACTCTTTGCAATTTGTTATGGAGTGAATGTGCTAATCTCGTATAAACGATTATTATTATTTTGCTTCAGGCTTCATGAAAATCCAATCGAAAATAAAAACC